CCCCGCCGAGGCCGTCGACGCTGGCCCGCAGATAGCCAGGCGCCGGGGTCCTCAATTTCCCCGCTTCCCGCCCCCCCCCCCATGAGGCATGAAGGTGCAGCACCAGCAGCCAGGGGGAAGCCCGGTCACTATCGGGAGACAGGAAGGGGGCGCATGTATTGACTCCGCGACGACGGGTGCCGCCTGCTCTCGGGCAGCGGACGTTCGCGTCTGGCGCCCCGCCCCGGTGGGGGGGGGGGGGGGGCGGAGCGAGAACGCGAAGCACGAGCATAGTATGCGAGGACAGGCCGCGGAGGGGAGAGCACCATGCGGTGTGGTGTGCTCGTGTATTCGTGCACTCCCTCCCAGAAGTCCGCCCCCGACCGGGGCCAACCCCCCCCCCGTCCTCTTGGTCCCCCGTGGGGGGGCGGGACTGCGGGCCCGTTGTTATGATGATGTGTTGCCCTCTCATGTGCGCCCGGGCGCCGGGGGCCCCAGCGGCACGCGCATCCCCGCTGCTGACAGGATGGCGATGGGCGCTCGGCGGCGAGATCCCGCACATGCGTGTCGGCCGCATGCGGCACCGGGCCCGACGCAGGTGCTGTTTGCGCGTCTGCGCCTCCGCGCCCGTCCTGCGGCGCGTGGGCTTCCATTTTCTCCACGGGCGGTTCTCACCGCCCGCCCGGGCCGCGGGACTTCGAGAAGGGTGCTCCTCGCCCCTGTTTGGGGGCACCCGGCCGCTTAGTCACTTGCTCGTGCCTGGCCGGAGATCTGGCCCCGACATAGCCCGCTGGGAACGGTCTCACGCCCCCCCCCCCCCCCCCCCCCGTCGTCGGGCTGGTCCTGGCCCACATGCCGACCCCGTGCCGCCGAGACCGAAGCCTCCCTGCCCCACGGGCACGCGTGCAGCCATGCCAGGCGCTCCAGGCACCATCGAAAGCCCCTTGGAAGAGGCAAATTAGAGCCGGAGAACAGACAGGACTGGCTTGTGATCGTCAGTTCGCGGGCCCCCCCCCCCCCCCCCCCCCCCCGCCGGGTGCGTCGGCGTTTGGCGTCGGGGAGAAGGCGCGGGGGCGCGGGGGGGATCTGTCCTGAGAGAGGGCGCCGGCGCCGTCCACGGTGACGACATGACCCTCCGCGGCTCATTCGCTGCCCGGGCCTTCTCGGGCGGCTCACATGCGTGTGTCCCGGATGGCGAGACGGTCTCACCACAGGCGAGCGACATAAAAACATACAAACACATCGGCGCGCGCGCGGAACATGCGTCTACATGCTTCTATACCTGCACGCATGCTTGCATGTTGTGTGCCTGTGTCCGGGGGCCCAGTTTGGATTGGTTGACTGTTCGCATCATGGTTGTCTGCCCTCCCCCCCCGGGGGGGGGGGGATTTCGCTCCTCACGCCCTCTCACAAGTCGGGTCCCCTCGTGTGGTGAATTTTTCGCACACGCCACTGGTTGGGGGTGCCCCGGCAGGCGCTGACGAGCCACTCTGCCACCACCACACCCCCTCCTCCCCGCCCGCTCCCCTTGCCCCCTCTCCGTTCGCCCCCCCCCCCTCCGTGTTCCCCCGGTGATCCGCACTTTAATTGGCCGCCTCACACGCGTCACTCCCCCCCCCCCCCCCCCCAACCCCCTCTGGGTCTGGGCGAGAAGGGGGCAAATACTTGTGCTTTGTCTGATCGAACGATGTGTCCCCCGCCCCCCCCCGCCCCCCCCCCCCCGCCCATCACCTGTTAGATGACGCTCGGCATTGGCACCGACCTGCCGGCGCACGGCCCCTCGGACGAGGCCGACGACGCGCGGGTCACCTTCTCCCATCATCGGCTCCCCCTGCCGGGCTCCCTCTTCCAGGATGGGCTGGAGTATACCTTGCAGGGCCTGGCATCGGCCAGTTGGGCCGGCGCAGCCCTGGACGGGCACAAGTGTGCGTGCCCCTGCTGGTGTCTTCCTGTGTCCTCCCGCTGCTCCCGCCCCCTCCCCCCGCCTCTCGCCGGTGGCCTGGCATCCGGACTGACTCGTTCATCTGTTTGGCCAGGCAACATTCTGCTGGCCGAAGGCCTGTACCTGCCGGTCATGGCGGATGCCGGCATTTCAGCCCTCTACCGTGTGCTCCCCCTTTCCGTGGATGTTGTCTGTGCGCTGGTCCCCCCCCCCCACCCCCACGCGGTTCTCTTTGGCCCCCTCCCGCCCTCGCTGTGTCGGTGCTGACCTGTGTTCGTGTCTCCTTCGCCGGGCGGTTTATTTGCAGCCTCGCCCACCGGCGGGTCCGCCATCCGAAGCGCCCTCCTCGATACGGAGGGGCATTATTTTGCCCCCCACCCAGGACCCAGTCACCTGGCGGTGGTCCCACATGATGGCACCCTGCTTCGGTGCTTTTTCCGGGCCGGTGCGCACGCACGCACGCGCGCGGAACTGGCCCCACTCCTGCACTCGCCGGCGCATACTGACACTCGATCTCCCTCCTCCTGCCTCTCTCGCTGGCTGAAAGACGCCATGGTTGCCGAGCAGGTGGCGCTCGCCGGGCCGAACTCGGTACGTCCTGGCTCCCCTTCCCTCCCTCCCGAGGGGGGGTCTCCCTGCTTTGCGGGCTCGCCCGGGCATTGTCGCTGACAGGACCCTGACCCCCTCTGGGACATTGTCCCCTGCGCTGCCGTGGCAGTCCCCCGGGCCCCGGTGGCTTCGCCGGGCAGAGCACCATTTTGAATTCCAACACTTCCCGGCCCTGGCGGCGGGTCTGGCCTCGGTCGGCACCCTGTCGGTGGGGCTGCCGCCGGAGGAGTACCTCCGCAGACGGGATGTCGATCTGGCGATGTTCGGGCCGACCGGGCTCGCCGGGCCCGGGGCCCCGGGGCGCGAGCTGAGCCTGCTGACGCTCGTCCCTCGGGGGGCGGATGCGCCGCAGGTGCTGGTCTTCTTGTTGACCGGGGCCGGCACCTGCCGGGCCGTCACTGGGCTTGGTCTTGGGCTGTCGGGGACCGTGGCACAGGCCCTGCCCGTCGGCCGGGCCGCCGCGGCCACCGTCAGCCCGGGCGGCCTGGCGACGCTTGTGCTGACAGACACCGGGGGAATGGCCTGCTTCTTCCACGACCCGGAGGTGCTGCTCTTCCGCCACCTCTGCAGGTCCCGGGCCAACGCCTTCACGCCGCTGGAGCATACGGCCCCCTCGTGGCTGGACGCATGGCTAGTGTGTCGCTTGGCCGGGTCGCTGGCCGACGGTCGGGGGGGCTTCCTCCTGGCCGGGCAGGGGATTCGCCGTGATGCCTGGGAGGTGGCCGTGGCTGTCGGCCGGCGGTCTCTCACGGCCGGTGGTGCGTGCCCTGCCGGCCCTTCTGCTCTCTTTCCCTCTCTCTCTCTCTCTCTCTCTCTCTCT